TGTTAATTTTTTACTTTGCCAGAGAATTCTTCACAAAATAAGTCATCAGGAGTGTCTTTTAAATTTTGTTTCTTTAGTATATTTAAGTATGATTTTCTATAACACACAACTTTCTTGAAATGAATCTATTTCAATATAATTAAAAAACTGTTACTGTATAATTTTAGAAACTCTTTCCCACCTAATAGAATCTGGTTATACATAGATGAACAAGGTAACTTGTTTCAACACAGAAAAGCAGTGACATTTAAAAGTATAGCTTTTTATTGGTTTGTGATGGCTCATCTTACATTGTGTGAAAAATGCTTCAGTTGATTATTTCTTTTTCCGTCCCACCAGGAAATAATAAATTTACGTGTTTGGTAGTAACAACTGGGGTCAGTTAGGATTGGGATCAAAGGCAGCCGTCACCATGCCAACATGTGTCAAAGGTTTGAGATCTTTTACCTTTCACAAACTGTATAAAAGTGTTTTTATGTTGACTGTGTAGTTCTTTAATGTCATAAATAATAGAACTTTTATGTTGTTTATTTTGCTGACATTTGCTTGAATATTATTAGCATTTAACTTATCTGTTTTATATGATTATTCAGAACTGCTTTTGTATGTTAGGGTCCTAAAATTCAGATTGGATTTTAAGCCAGGCACCACAAAGGAAGTAATGATTTTGACGTATTGTATTTGAATCATCCCCCTCCTTTTTTTTTTTTGTTTTTTGCTTTGTTTGTAAAACTACTGTACATATTACTGTTATTGTATATACAGAGAACAAACGTCATGTTAGAAATTTTGGCTTTTTCTCATTTAATAGATGTTGTTGGACATATGCTTCTTATTTAGTTGCTTGGTTTTATAAAACATTACCTTTGATCCGCTTTATATAGTATCTGTAGGGTGAAGTTAAACAAAACATCTGAGACATGGGATTGACTTTTTAGATACTAGTGTAAAAGAAACAACAGGACAAATATTTGAATACAGGAGTGTTCAGAAAATGTTAGATATATAATACCCTTACAAACTTTCTGGTGATGTTATATGCAAACTCTGTTTGGCTATAACCTGTGAACATCAGCTAAACTTGAAAAAGGATGAGGAGATCCCTTGAGATTGTGAGTAAGAGCAGTATTTTTGTATGTTCCTGGCACGTAAGATTTTAGTTTCATCTCAAAATATGTCAGTGTTAGCTTGTCATATCATTGCGCTGTTTATGGCGATGAGTTGTTATGGAACTTTTAGAGTATTCCATGTGGTTCGCAAAAAGTATTTATTCGAGCCAGTCTAAGTCACTTGGGGATTCACAAGGTGACCATGACCCCTTACTCTCATGAATTCTTATCTAATAGAGAAGTAACAGGGATGTCTTAGACTTGATGGATCCTCTGTGGATGACCAAGAATCATAGCAGTCATCTTTTGCAGCCCATATGCCAATCACTTAGAGATGTTGCTTTTTTATGATATATTTTCAACATGTTTAAAACACAGCAGCGTATCTATAACATTATATTTAGAATTTTCTAAGTATTACTGTCCTCATTCAGGATTGTAATACTAACCGGTAACAATAGCAGTATGTTCATCTCCACATGAAAGATGTACAGGGACATCATTTTTAAACCAGAATTTACTGGGATTATTTTCAGCAAATTTACTTTTCCCAAATGTAAACACAGCACCCGAATCTGCAAATATAAGATGGTCTCTATTTTATAACTTTAACTTATGTTGCCTGTTATTTAAATACCTTTTAGTAATTATCCATACAAACCTCTTGTTTCATGACAGCTTTGCCCCCACTCTGGCAATGTTTAAGCCTTCCTTCTTCCACCTTAATTCAGTCTTTCTTATTCCTCAGACTCCATTATAGTTTTACCTCTGAAATCTACTAGATTGAACATGTATTACTCATATACTGGCACAAAGTAAGAAATACACTATCACAAGGAAGGCAGTCATCTATTACTAATAGTTCTGCTGTCACCAAGTAGATGTCTATTCCCTGGAATGAAATGGTACAATTTGTGCTAGTCTTGCTCTGGTTAACACCTCATGGTCTGGCCTCTGACTGAGAGCTTTTCTCGAAACACAAAAACAGGACAGTACTTAGCTTCCTCATTAACTTCACTCAGGATATCTATGGGGAGAGTCTCTATCAGTCAATTTGGATTTTCTCTGGTCCAGTTTTTCCAAGGAACCTCCAGCGTTCTTATGCAAGGGAAACGACGTTAGCCCAAATGGTGAACTCTTTATTTTTGTTGAGACAGGGTCTCACTCTGTCACCCAGGTTGAAGCGCAGTGGCCCAGTCACGGCTAACTGCCGCCTCGACCTCCTGGGCCCAAGCAATCCTCCCACCTCAGCCTCCAGAGTAGCTAGGACTATAGGCGTGTGCCACCATGTCCAGCTAAATTTTGTAATTTTTGCACAGACGGGGTTTTAGCATGTTGCCCAGGCTGGTCTCAAACTCCTGGGCTTAGGCTCAGGTCTCAAACCCCTGGGTTCCTGCCTCGGCCTCCCAAAGTGCTGGGATTACAGGCGTGAACCACGACAACTGAACAAAATGGTGACACTCTACTTTCTCTGTTGGTAATCCCAATGAATACCCATAAAACGAGACAGCACAGAGAGAAACAAATTACTCCACCACTATCTCTTTCATTTGAACCAAGGGAAAGCAGCTAGAAAAAAAAAAAAAAAAAACAGGCTTTAAAGGCAACTAGGTATTCAAAGGTTGTTGTAAGGATTAAATGAGATGACATGAATGAAGAACTTAGCTCAGAGCCTAGCATCCTCAAAGTGGTAGCTCATAGCTGCCTCTGTAAACTCTTCCTCCCACCATAAGAGTTGGAAATGATCACTGGCTTCTCGAACTATGTGATTTGTAGAATTTATATGGCAAATAATTGTGCTACCTAGCAATCTCTCTAATTAAACTGTTACACAAATCAGCAAAATTACAAATCTCAGCAAGATTTGTGTAACAGTTTGATTAGAGAGCTTGGTAGGTAGCATAATATGTAAGATGAGGTCCTCACAAAGCAATAAAAAGCTATACTTTAAAAATGTTGGCCAGGTGTAGTGGCTCACCGCCTGTAATCCCAGCACTTTGAGCTAGGCGGGTGGATCACTCGAGGTCAGCAGTTTGAGACCAGCCTGGCCAACGTGGTGAAACCCCGTCTTGACTAAAAATGCAAAAATTAGCCGGGTATGGTGGTGGGCACCTGAAATCCCAGCTGTAATCCCAGATACTTCGGGGGCTGAGGCAGGACAATTGCACGAACCCCAGGGGTGGAGGTTGCAGTGAGCCAAGATAGCATCATTGCACTCCAGCCCGGGCGATAGACTGAGACTCCGTCTCCAAAAAAAAAAAAAAGTCACTGCTTTTCTGTGTTGAAACACAGAGTTCACCATTTGTTACCCCAAATGTTGTTTTTTTCCAACTATTTTCTAAGGTTACAGAGGGTATAAACTGTCTGCACTACCCATACTGCCTAGCACAAAGTAGCCATTGTGTGTTCTACTTTTCACACAGAAAGGGTCCCCCTTACACACATGTATATTCGTAACTGTTCAATGTTTTGTTTAGGAATTCATCATAATGGTGAGTAGGTAGTCAAATATAACTTTCGACATTGTTAATATAAAAGACAGGTTACCCAAGTCGTCAGCAAAGGAGCACTTCAGCTTTTCCTGATTTCTGAGAATTCAGAATGTTTAGGGATCCAGTATAAAATGAAAAGATCCTCTCAACACAGCTACTCAGGAAGTTTCTAATTCTCATCTTACTCATGCACTACAGTCAGTCATAGAGATGTCTTTTTCTCTTTCCAGAAACAGTACATGGGAAAGGATGGTTTATCTTTCCCCCCAAAACAACATCACAAAATGCCACGGTCCTAGGAGATTGGGAGAGGAGTACACGGGGATGTTGAGATTTAACATTCTTACATCAAGTCATTACCTGATTTGAGTAGTATTCACAAACTGTTGTGGCACAGGATCATTTTGAAGCGAGACTAATTAGCAGTTCCCAAAAACCATTTAAACACACACATACACCAAATAGTAGGCCAGGTCCAGCTTCTGGAGAAATCCCAAGGGGGGTGATCACACATAAACTAATTTGTACCAGAAAGGAAAACATGGCGAATATAAGTATTAATAATAAATATTAATATGCAAGAGACTAGCCACTGTGGACAACTTTTTGAGAACCATTGTGAGGCATCTGAGTTTGACTAGGATCTAGAACAGACTCTGAGTTTCCCCAGAATGAATTATTTTAACATTTTAACTGTTTTGTCCTGGCTCCCCTGGCTTCCCTGATACCCTCATCCCAAGCCAAGGTTTGGTGGCTCTGCTCTGGCCCTGTAACATCTACTGTCAATTTGTATGGTCATTTTGTTCACCTTCCTGTATGTCTCACTAAATTGTGAACTGCAGGACAGGAATCTAAGTTCCGGCCAGGAGCATGGAAGAAAACATACATATTTCAGTGAGGGTATAATTCTGCTCGAACCCAGTGTTTTTTCAACATGGTCGTGACCTATTAGTGGGTCAGAAAATCAATTCAGTGGATCACGATCAGCATTTTAAAAGAATGCATTATCAAAAAGCTGTGTGCGGAATCTAAGTGGTTAGAACAAGGACTGCATCACGAGACATCTATTTCTGTTACACGGTACGTATGGGGTATCGGGTCACAATGTCAAAAGTATTTCTAACTATAGAGCTCAGAAAAAAAGGCTAAAAAACACTCGCTAAAGGGTCCCTCTTCTTCCTCTTTTCCAATTTATTTCCTGTATCCCCTTTTACCCCACAACCCTGATCACTCACTCCTTACCGCATTCAATACATAACCGGGAGCTCAGGACCTCCAAGTGCACAAGTCTGGAGTCTGCACTTTGGGGAGTTTACAGATAGGTAAAAAGTGTCCCTGCCTGGCCGGGCGCGGTGGCTCACACCTGTAATCCCAGCACTTTGAAGGCTGAGGCGGGCTGATCACCTGAGGTCAGGAGTTCGAGACAGCCTGACCAACATACAGAAACCCCGTCTCTACTAAAAATACAAAATTAGCCAGGCGTGGTGGGCATGCCTGTAATCCCAGCTACTCGGAGGCTGAGGCAGAGAGAATCGCTTGAACCGGAGGTGGAGGTTGCGGTGAGCCGAGATCGCCGCCATTGCACTCCAGCCTGGCAACAAAGGAAACTCCGTCTCAAAAAAAAAAAAAAAAAAAGGTGTCCCGCCTTCAAGAATCTCATCAAAAGCTTATTTTAAAACAATAAGAAAGTCAGGCACCCTCTTTCCCGTTCTCCTCCATCCTGTTCTTCCCGTGCGGTCCTCTGCCCTCAGTCATTCGTGGGAGCGCAACCAGCGATCCCGCCCCAGTCCGGCCGCCAAGCCTCCGGCCTGTCCCCTCACAGGGCCGATCCGGAGGCGGGGCCGCCCGCCCGCGGACCCTCCCTCCCGGCCTTCCGCCACCGGCGCGGGCGCGACTCACCGGGCAACGGCTCTTCGGGCTCCTTCATGCCAAGGGCGGTACGGGCAGCCTGCGCCTGGGCCAGGAGGCTGTAGAGGACGGTTTGGTCGGGGCTAAGGCAGCTACTCCGCCCCGACGCCGGCCGCAAAAGCCCCCCAGTTCCGCCTGGCGAATCAACGGACAACCGCGCTCCCGGAAGTCAACAAACAGCCGCTAGGGGCAAGGGGGGCGGAGCTTGGGAATGCAAGGCGGGGCAGGCGCCGCTAGGGAGGGGAACGGAGGCCGGTAACGGCTAGTAAAGGTAGACTCAGGCACAGCAGAGGGGCAGTAGAGACTACGCGCCCTCTAGCGGCCTGGAGCAGAGAGGCGGCCAGGCCGCGCAGTGATGCCCTGAAGTCAACGCCCTCGTGCGGCTGGAGGTCCAGGCGCCGCAGGGGCCCTGCCATGAGTGGCAGACGTCACAAATCTCATACCCCGTGACATAAGCAAACATCGACACATAATTATGACACTACTTGTAATAGTGACCAGCTGAAACATTAAAGGAGATAAGCACTCTGCTAAAGGCATCCCCAGCATCTAAACCAAGGTCTGGCCTATATTGAATGCTCATGGGTGGGATCGCCTGAGGTCAGGAGTTCAAGACCAGCCTGGCCAACATAGTGAAACCCTGTCTCTACTAAAAGTACCAAAAAATTAGCTGGGCATGGCGGCAGGTGCCTGATCCAGCTACTCGGGGCTGAGGCAGGAGAATCACTTGAACTCGGGAGGCGGAGGTTGCAGTGAGCCGAGATGGCGCCACTGCATCCCAGCTGGGCAACAGAAGAAAACTGTCTCAAAAAAAAAAAGAAAATAAACTGAAAATGTTTCAGGCCACCAAGTAACATGTTTCCCCTTCTCACAACCACATTGGCTGGATTTAGTGTCACGTGCCTCTGTGCACTTGCAGAGAGGCTGGGAAACATG